AGCCTTAAAGTTTTTATTTAAGCATGAATTTAGGAAGATGATCTAAATGAATATAAATATTGAAAGGGACTAGAGGTCAAATATTTGGCCTATTCTCTTTAATCAATATGACAAATTCATTTCCCCTGCTTAATAATGCTAACTGTATTATTTGTACCCCACCCATCTGACTGACTTGCCCCAGCCACTCTGGGAAGCTTCCAACTAAATATAAAAACACAGTGAAACATCAGACATTAAAAACATCCCTATATAGAGCTGCCTTCAGATGTCTTCTAAAAGTCATATAGTTGTTTATCTCCTTGACATCTTAAAGTCTTCTATCTTCTAAAAGTGATATAGTTGTTTATTTCCTTGACATCTGATGGGAGGGCGTTCCACAGGGCGGGCGCCACTACCGAGAAGGCCCTCTGCCTGGTTCCCTGTAACCTCATTTCTCACAGTGAGGGAACCCCCAGAAGGCCCTCAGAACTGGACCTCAGTGTTTGGACTGAACAATGGGGGTGGAGACGTTCCTTCAGGTATACTTCTTTGGCATTCCTGTCCTCCAGATTTCCAGTCCTTTCCCTACATGTTCATGCCTCTTACCAATAACTAGCCCACTGGAGTGACCAAATACAAAGGAAAGCAGCACACCTGCAGCTCTATAGTTATGCTGGAGAAAGAATATTAGCAGTGAGGCTTCTCATGCCAGGATCAGAAAGTTGCACCTGCTGATATTCTCTTTTCAACTCAGCTATGAACCGCCGAACTGAACCTTTGCATCAAGTTACTACTCCACAACACAGAGTTCCTCTTGTCCTAGAGATATTTCCACCCTGATACCCCAAGCATATTTACTTACTTACTTATCTAATAGGCATCTTTCAAGCATATCTATAAACCAGCTCACTTCAAAACAAAACAAAAAACTACATTATAGTAAGTGTAACAGTCTGCAGCACACCACAGGAAAACATATATTGGTAAGGAATAACATCAGCTGTCTGTCCATCTCCCTGAAGGTCCTGTTAAAAAAAAAAAGTTTTAACTTCCATTTCCTCACAGTAGCTACAGCAGCTGCTAAACTATATGGCTGACTATGAGGTGGGGCATCCAGTGAGAATCTTTGTTGCCTCCCAGTCTTGCAATAACCACATCGTCAATTTGAAATAAAGAAGTCTATTTACACCAAATGATAAATAGGTGCAGATTGAATGACTGGTATATCATTAGGAGATAGCACCTTTTAGCATAAATGGTCACAGGGTATTTTGCAGGGCAGCAAAATAAGTCAACATAAGGCATCATGAGCTAAAACATAAAAAATATTGTAAACTATATGAATAAAAATCATCAGCACCATAATTTAAAATTAACCTGCTAGCCTCTAAAGCATAAAAAGTGTGTGTGCGCGCGTGTGTGTGTGTGTGTGTGTGTGTTTAACCTGGTGTCTAAATGAATATCAAGTTGGGACAAGATGTACAGTACTTCTGGAGAGGCATTCCTTTTGAAACTATGGGGCTACCACCAGAAGGGCTCTGCTCCAGACACCTGCATTATGCACCTCATTTAACATAGGGACCCCCGGGAGAGTTTCATCTCTGGATCTCAATGCACAGGCAAGTCCAGTTGTGAGTAGGAGTTCTCACAGATATGTGGGTCTCAAGTCATTCAGTTGGCAGCTGTCAGTATTTGGTGTACATATGTCAAGGCAGGAACTGGGAGCAGGTCAGCAATAAATCAGAAAGTGTCAGTGAGGTTAACTCTTTCTTCAAAGAAACAAAACAGCTCAGGGCTAGTGATCACAGCCACTCTTCCCAGCAGGTCTTGCTCCAATGAGGAGAGAAGGTCCCTGCCTTCCCACCAAGTAAACTTAATGCTGTTGTGCTGGTAGTGCCTTTTTTTGCCAAAGTAACAAAATACAGCTCTTATTATTCTAGTATGGGGGTGACACTGGTGGGGCCTGGAAACAGAACTGAGCAGGGCAACATACTGAAGATGGGCTGCACCACCTGCCCTGATTCTGCTCAGAGAATCTGAGCACCATCCCAACTTCTTACCTTCCTTCTAATTACAGCAGCAAAGTCAAGCTATTCGTATCACAGTTGACATCAGCCTCAAGAGCAAAGCATGTGCCAATAATCTAAAAGAAAGCAAATGATTTGCAAATAATTATTTTCTGTGCTTTTACAAACTTAAATTATATATATTTGCATCATACATATTTAGCCCATTTTTTTAATGGTAGCAAATACTTTTCAACTTCATGGCAATTGCCTATTTTAGAAAAAGAAAAGGTGACCACAGGACGAGGAGCAATGATGTCTTCAGTTATATTAAGAAGTTCACTCTTGGGACCGTATAGTGTTACAAGTTTACATTTAATTAATATAATGTTATTATGCATACGTTACATGTAATTATATTATTTGTATGTCAATATTACACTTCATTCCACAAGGGAGTTGAAGTTTCACTAATCAGTATTAAGATATATTTTCCACAGAGCTTAAAAGAAATGTTCAGCGTGTCAGTGAAGGTGGTTGGAAAACACAGTTTCCGAAAATGGTATGGAACAAATCATGTAGGATTCTCCCATCCTTATTGGTTAGGCTTAAAACTGATCCTGTATTGTCATTCATCAAGGTCCTTTGGTAACATATGAAATGAGATCAAATGGTGTGGTTCCTTCTTTGCCCACTGGGAATGAATCAACTCTCATGGTCCCTTCCTTTGTAACTTGAGTACATTTTGGTTGGGTTGGTCAATGTTTGTCTTCCTTTTCACAACAAAAAAGCCTGGTGCTGTCACTTCAAGCCCAGCACCATGCATCATAATGTAGTGTTGCTCTGTTCCAATGGGCATTTTGACCCAAATTTAGAAGTGAATGGTACCAGGCAGTTGGGGGTAGCTAAGCCACCCGGAAGTAATTCAGCTTCTCCCCTGGAAGTCAACAGTATTCCTCCGTTTCACTTCCAGTGAAATGAATGCATCTGTGAAAGTAGGGAGTGGATATTGAGCCAACCTGACTTCTAACATGACTGGAACAGTGTGGGGTAGTCTCCTTGAAGTGGCAAATGCCTTTTGCTCAGAATATGAGAACTGTTCCTTACATGGTAACTCTGTTTTCAATTTGTATTGACTTTTGAAGCTGTGAACATTTTAGCAAAATACATACACTCATGACATTGCATGGAGATTTGTTTTCTAAAGTTCTAAGGGAAGTGTATTCTAAAGCTAATATTTAAAAGATTATCTGGTGGCAGCATGGCCCAAGATCTATAGAGTAGTACACTCATTTGAAAGATTGGGTGTGTAAGGGATGAGACCATCTTATCAGGAAGGCTGTACCACACAAGGTAAGAAGTGGACCTTTGGTGTTGTGGCACCTACTCTGTTGAATCCTCTCCCTTTGAACATTAGACAGGTGCCATCCCTGCTATCTTTCTGGCATCTACTAAGGACCTTCCTCTTTCAACAAGCCTTTTAAGCTGAGATCTCTCCCAGTATTTTTTCTGCACTGGAATTGTTTTTATTGTTTTCTCTATCACTTGTTATTTGCTGCTCTGGAAGGTCAGCCTCTAAATTCAATAAATAAATATGCAAAATAGAGATACCGCAGTCTCATTACAAGCCCCTTTCCCTCAAAACATACAACAATTGCACCTATTTTCCTCTGCTAAATGTTGGGGGGGTATGAATAATTAAGGTTCTCTGGAAAACATGTCTGCAGATGCCACACAGCTTGAGCACAGCGTGATGGGTCATCTATATATATAACGAAAGGCCAAAAACAAAGTGAGCAATAAATAGAAATAAGTAAAAGCGTGCTTGCTTACTTTGCAATGGATTTGTGACACACATATATTTGATCTGCCTGAGATGAAAGAGGATATCCTGCAAATAATACATGGAATTATTTTTCTGATCATACGTCAAGATAACGTGGCTGCTATATATTCCTGATTAGTTGTTATCTTGAATGACCTGATATTCACTTGTTGCTGAAATCAATTTGTCATTTGCAATGGGAAGCAGAATCCATCCTAATTTGATGGGCTATAGCGTTTGAAAAATATCCGCTATGCTATTGTCTGAAATTATGTGTAGAATTATAGAGTTTTAGAGTTTGAAGGGATCTTTTAAATCATCCAGTCCAAATGCATTGTCAGGAAGACAGGAATCTTGCAGCTACAGCATGCCTGAATGATAACCACCCAGAGTCTGCTTAAACATCTCCCGTGAACAAGGGCCCACCACCTCCCACCACAAAGGGAGAACAGGAGGAGGAAGCAGTGGCAGCAGCCTGACTTAGGTGGCACAATGTGTTGCACCAGCCCCTGGTTGTATTAACCTTTTAGCCACTACATCATAGGGCTGGCACATGCTGATCAACCTGTGTTCTACAAAAAACACCTAGAAACTTTCTGCATGCAGTGCTGCTAAGCCAGGTCTCCCCTACTCTATATGCTGACTATGTCAGGCTGTCATAGGACATGCCCCCATTGGAGAATTTGCAGTGCTGTAACATATTTCTCTCCTTCATGGATCACGGCCTTGCCGTGGCGAAGGGGCTTGAATGACACCTGCTTCTTGGGAGAAAAGCAATGACAAACCTAGACAGCATCTTAAAAAGCAAAGACCTCACCTTGCCGACAAAGGTCCATATAGTTCAAGCTATGGTTTTCCCAGTAGTGATGCATGGAAGTGAGAGCTGGACCATAAAGAAGGCTGATCGCCGAAGAATTGATGCTTTTGAATTATGGTGCTGGAGGAGACTCTTGAGAGTCCCATGGACAACAACAACAACAACAACACATTTCTACATTTGCATGAAGTCTGGGCAGGAGGGAGGAGCAAAAGAGAAGGTTGGGTTTACACAACTGCAGAGGTTTGAATAAAACAGGGATGGAGAACACAGAGGAGCTGCGAGGATGCGGGGCTAAGAACTATTGTAGAGTTGGAAGGGACATGGAGGATCATCTAGTCCAACCCCCTGCAATGCTGAAAGATGCAGCTGTTTCATATGGGAATCGAACCTGCGACCTTGGCATAATCAGCACCACACTGTAACCAACTAAGCTATCCAGCTGGCTTGAAAGCTCTGTGAGGGGATGGAGGTTTAGGTGAGGTATAAAGCAAATTGGAGGGGTTGGTAGGGTTGGCTATAGTGTATTTGTCTCCGTTGAAGTTCATCTTGTTGGTTTTGGCCTGCTGTTTCAGCTTGTCCAGTTCGTTTTGAATCTTGAAACTCAAAGCTTAAAACTCATTTTGAATGGCATCATTTCCCCCCTTCTCAGAACAATACAGACTTTGCCGTCAGGTGAACCTGAAGCAGCTGATACAGTTAGATAAAATCTCAACACTCAGGTAGGATTAGGTATATATTTCTTTAAGAGAGGAAAGAATTGTTCCTGCAAGTTTCTGGAATCTAGAAATCTGTTGTCCGGCCATCTCAGAATACACCCATTCTATCACCTGAGAAGTGGAAATTGCTTATCTGTATCTTTTATATAACAATTACAACTGTGTAAATTACAAGTCCATAAAAAGGAACAGAAAGATAGGTCTTGCATCCTGAAGACTGATATCATGTTTACAATTTATTGTAGATTATTTAAATATTCCCCTTTAAAAATAGGTCTAACCATTTCATTTATGCCATAGACACACACACACACACACACACACACACACGTCATTGTCACATGAAACGAGACTTCCCCTCTTTTGATTTTAAATATTTCACCTATCGTGTGTATAGAAAATTTTGACTAGAGGTACTAAACTTCTTGTTTAACCTGGGAATAGGTGTCGTTCAATTCAATGGGGCTTACTTCTGAGTAGATTTCCATAGAAATGTGAAGTAAGCACATTAAGAGACAGATGTATTTTTAAGAAGGTCAGTGAAGCAGTATATGATCTAAGAGTTACATTCTAACATCCTGGAGGAGCAAGAGTTATTAAGCCAAGTGAAAGAGACCATGCTTTTGTCCTGAACTGTCATTTCTGTTGCATATGCTAGCATGCAACAGAGTGGAAAATCCATTTTAGTTTTGGGTTCAATATTGAAGGCACCCACTTCATTCATTTCTTTTTATTTATTAAATATATATCCTGCATTTCCTCCCAAAGAAGCCCAGGGTGGCACTTTATGAGATCACTCATTAGCTTTAGATAGGGAGCATTTCTAATTTTCCAAACTCACCCAAAACATTTACTGCAGTCATCAAGAGTCATCTAGTCCAAACCCCTGCAATGTAGATAGATGAAAATTTAAACTATCACTTCACAAGGTAGATAAGGCTCATCTGATAGCTCCTACTCCCAAAAGCCACACTACCTTTCTTTAAAAGAAAAAAAAGAAAAAGCTCTGAACTTGAAGATATCAGTTTTCATTCCAGCATCATAACATTGGATAGAATCAGTAATCAATTGTAACTTTGGCCCTGTAACTGATTTATTACATTGTCCACCTTTCAAGGTGGTTCTCATTATAACTTCATCTCCTTGTACCCTTCTGTGCAGATGTAATTAAAGATTGTGACAGTGTAGGAGTCCACATAATTTTGACAGGCAATGTGAGTTTCATCTGGTGTGCCAAATCTCTCACGGGAAGAACTGAACTTCTATCTATAGACAAGTTCATGATTTGATGACTTCGGTTCAGTTAAAGGCGTATTCATTCAAACACGATACCTTTTCGTGAAATCGCTTCTCACATTCAAACATGTATTGAGAAATTAAGTAATGTACAATCATGTGCAAATTGTTCCTTGTTGCTTTTTAGTGTTATGTTCCTCCTGCATCCCCTGGACTCTCAGCAATCACGTCAATTATTCCCACCTTAAGAAAAAAGAATCATTTTATGAAAAATATATTGCACAGGGTGGGGGGAATTCAAGTAAGTATAGGACCTTATGCCCTGCTTTCTGACATTGGGCCCCACTCTCTATGTGCTAATACTGACCTCTGGTGACCACATGCGGCATGTTCAATTAGACCTGACACAGAAGTCACATTTCAGAGCAACCTCTTGGAGAATCACAAAAACTGCTTTCATAGCAAAAGCATATGGCAAGAACTCCCCCATCCCCTGTAGCTGAAAGGTATCACATGTACTCTAGGTACACCTGTAGATGTAAGAGGTATTTATACCACCCAGACTCAAGGATGAGTATTGTACAATTGTGGAAAGCTCAGTTTGTTTATTTTCTCTTCCCCTTGCTTGAAAATTCACTTAGAATTAGAGACTGGTTAACTTCTCTGGTGTAGAATTGTAGGGTTGGAAGGGGGTCCCATCTAGTTAAACCCCCTGCAATGTAGATAGTTAAAATTTTAAACCATCACTTCACAAGGTGGATGAGACTCACCTAATAGCTCCTACGTCCCAAAGTCACATTGCCATTCACTTGAAAATATATGTTTTCGTAATGTTGGATAGAAAAAGAGCAGCAAATTGGGAAACTGGTTTCAGTTACAATTCTAGGAAATTAAAAATCCACGCAGAAAGCATAAACAAAAATGTGTTGGAAGAAACTGAGCTACGGAGAGAGGTGTTGTCGGAAAACGAGACTTCAGAAGGTAACTGAGCCAACTACCCTGGTGCAACTAATTCTTTGCTTTGTTCGAAGCTAGTCTTTTTTCTTCCATAAGTATTTATATTTAAGCAGGCTGACAATTATGAGAAGTAGCTGTTTGAATACCACCTCATATAAATAAGTACACACCCCTGTAAAAGGTAAGCAGAGAGAGGAAGCAAAAATAATTTCAACTGCAGTCACACAACTATTTATATGAATATAGAATTGGGAAGAATTCCTGTATAGAATTACATTGCATTCATGTGATTTTTTTTATATATACTTAACAACTATGTATTTTTATTTATTTTCAGTGGGCATGATCCATTTAAAATACAAGCATTTTTAAGGAATGCTGTTCTGAAATCCGTCCACCAGTTTCTCAAAACTTCCTCTGAGAAGCCTGCTTCATTCTCATGGCTCTTGAGAATTTCAGTGGGTGCTTACCTTGCCACGGAGGGAATGGGTGGCACTATGGATTAAACCACTGAGCCTCTTGGGCTTGCCAATTGGAAGGTTGGGAGTTCGAATCTGCACGACAGAGTGAGCTCCCATTGCTCTGTCCCAGCTCCTGCTAACCTAGCAGTTCGAAAGCACACTAGTGCAAGTAGATAAATAGGTACCACTGCGGTGGGGAGGTAAAAGGCATTTCCGTGTGCTCTGGTTTCCATCATGGTGTTCCGTTGCGCCAGAAACAGTTTAGTCATGCTGGCCCCATGACATGGAAAGCTGTCTGTGGACAAACACCGGACCCCTCGGCCTGAAGCCAGATGAGTGCCGCTCCCTATAGTCACCTTTTAATTTTTACCATACCTTACCATTGAGAATGCTGTATGAGTGTTTCTTTCCTGTAAGCACCTTTTCCAGCTCTCTACATACAGCCTCCCTGCCTGCCCACATTTCCTGATCTGAAAAAGTTACCTCATGACATCTTCCTCAGAGATGGAACGGATGTGTGGGTGCCCAGGGAGGCTGCATAGCAGACCCCCAGCGAGATGATTTGTAAAATGCCCATTGGAACGGCACCAAAATTTGCTCTTGCCTTCAATAATTTTCAAATATTTAAGTACAAACACTTACAAGGAATAAAGGTAAAGGGACCCCTGACCATTAGGTCCACTCATGACCGACTCTGGGGTTGCAACGCTCATCTCGCTTTATTGGCCGAGGGAGCCGGCGTACAGCTTCCGGGTCATGTGGTCAGTATGACAAAGCCGCTTCTGGTGAACCAGAGCCGTGCACGGAAACGCCATTTACCTTCCCGCCAGAGTGGTACCTATTTATCTACTTGCACTTTGATGTGCTTTCAAACTGCTAGGTTGGCAGGAGCAGGGACCAAGCAACGGGAGCTCACCCCGTCGCAGGGGTTTGAACCACCGACCTTCTGATTGGCAAGTCCTAGGCTCTGTGGTTTAACCCACAGTGCCACCCGCATCCCCTTACAAGGAATACTTTTTAACAAATAGCTCCAGCCATTGTGGTTCACTCAGCAGTTCCTTTCAGTTTTCTAGGTGCCCTTTTGAAACTCCTGTCTCTCTCTAGCTCAATCATGGAAGCGACTGACTCTAAACTCAACCTGTTACTGCTTCAGAGCACCCCCAGGCTTGCATGCAGCCAGTGGAGTCTTGTTTTTCTTTTACTTTGAACAACAAACAGCCATGCCATGAGAGCCGCTTTCTTCGCTCTTTCAAAAACAGTTTGCCATGCAGCATGGGGCATTGCTGTTTGAAAAGCCCATCTGGGCATGTGGAATTAGCTGAGCGGTCCTTTGGATCCTCGCTTCTATGCTCAGAATATACTGACACGGTCATGCGACAAAAGTTAAAGCAAGCGAAGCTATTGACAATGTGAAATGACCATTATATTATTGTAATGTTCTGTTAATGCTTCAAGGCTGTACCTTTTAAGTCAATGGCATTTAACAGAGCAGGTTGGCAAGCCTTCGACTGTTAATAATGCCATGAAAACCCCGTAGATGTGAAAGCTTGCATTTACCCTTAGAAAACCTATGGGGAATAATAATAAATTTATAGACTTTTCTTAAAAAGTGTTTTCACATTTGATTGCTAGCTAGTTGTCAGTTAAGACAAAAGGTTAAAAAGACGGCAGGAATTCCATTTACTCGGTATTTAAGTTTTCTGTTAATGATAGGTTTGCCTTAGAAGTTTTACAACATTTAATTAGGTTGTTTAAAACGTCCTCTGATGCAAAATGAAAAGGAATATTAAGTGACATGTAGCATGTTATTATTATTTTTTCTTTCTTTTTTTTAAGAAAAAGCAGATTTCACTCTGTCTTTGAGTCAAGGGGGGGAAATAGACCCCAGAGCCTCAGATCATTTGTCCCAAATTAATTATCAGTTATTGAATAATTAACGATCCTTGACAACTCTTTTAATGATTAACAAATCAATGGAACCACTGGAGTCTCTCTCTCTCTCTCTCTCTCTCTCTCTCTCTCTCTCTTCTCTGTGGTCTAATGATGGTAATATAATACTTCCTTGTAAAACTTGCAGATGACCACAAAATAACAACCCCTTCTTCATGCAAGAAACTGAGAGACCAAAATAGAAATATTACAGCATTTTTTTCCAGTTCTTAAAATAAGCACATGCACTTCTCCATTATAAATGTATGCCCTTAAAAAATGAAAAAAATCGTGTGAATTAAACAACAGCTACAACAACAACAAAGAATATGATGCACAATCCTAGAAGTGCCCTTCTAGGATATTTCTTTAAACCTGACATTTAATTTATATATCTGTTTCTCTATTTAGGGGATTTAAAATACCACTCTTTGCATAAGCCACAGGGCTGTTCACAACAAAATGGTTTAAATACATAAAATCCATCAAAATGGCACCATTCTTTAAAAGCCACTGAATACCAATTACTACAGCCGCAGCAGCAACTAGGTAACTCCTACTGCAAATGGCTACCAAAAAAGGATTCGTTGTAATGAACCACCTAAATGAACACCTCAGTAGGGAAGGAGCTCCACATACAAGGAGCTGCCACTGAGGGGAAAAAGGCTTTTTTCCTGGGACTCTACACCAGGGGTCGGCAAACTAAGGCCCCCGGGCCGGATTAGGCCCACCTGGGTCCTAAATCCTGCTAGCGCTGCGAAGCCAGAACCCGCCACAAAGCTGAGAGTCCCATCAGTGACGAGGGGAAGAAGAGGCTAAGCGGCGACGGCTCTGCCACTCAAAAGCGCACCTGGTTTACCTCAGCGGCTTTTGATTGGCAGAGACGTCCTTGCTGAGATAAACCAGGTGTGGCATTTGATTAGCAGAGCCGCCGCCGCTCAGCCTCTTCCTCCTGTTGCCGCCGCCGCCCTGGTGCTCCTGTAGGCCAGAGAGCAGAGTGGACGAGCTCGCTCCGCCTACGAGAAGCAGCGGCGGCAGCAGTGGTGGTGGCAGCAGTCCCTGGGAGATAAGGGCAGCAACTGGGGCTGGGGAAGAGGACTACTTGCCCCCCCCTCGCCTCTTCTTCCAGCTCCCCCCCCCCGGTGCCAATTCTCCAGCCCTGAGGGACAGTGGACTGGCCCGCGGCTAAAAAAATTTGCCGACCCCTGCTCTACACCACATATTTCATACTGCAAAGGGATGGCCAATAGGACCTCATCTTCTGTACTTAAAGCGCAAGCTTGTCTATTGTTATTGCAGATATTCATCCCAAGTACAATGATACCTCAGGTTAAGTACTTAATTCGTTCCGGAGGTCCGTTCTTAACCTGAAACTGTTCTTAACCTGAAGCACCACTTTAGCTAATAGGGCCTCCTGCTGCCGCCGCGCTGCCGCCGCACGATTTCTGTTCTCATCCTGAAGCAAAGTTCTTAACCTGAAGCACTATTTATGGGTTAGCAGAGTCTGTAACCTGAAGGATATGTAACCTGAAGTGTATGTAACCCGAGGTACCACTGTACTCAGGATTGCATGTCAGGGCATCCCCTTCCTTTCATTAGTGGGAGAATCATAGATAATAATAATGATCAATTTTATTTAAACCCCGCCCTCCCCAGCCGAGGCCGGGCTCAGGGGGCTAACAAGCAATAATAAAAACAAGTTGAATGAATACAACTTAAAAACAAGATTAAAATACAACATTAAAATGCAGCCTCATCACAGGAGGAGAAAGGAAAAAAGAAAGAGGGGGAGGGAATCAAATTGACTCCAAGCCAAAGGCCAGGCAGAACAACTCTGTCTTACAGGCCCTGCGGAAAGAAATCAGATCCCGCAGAGTCCTGGTCTCATGAGATAGAGCGTTCCACCAGGTCGGAGCCAGTGTTGAAAAAGCCCTGGCTCTGGTTGAGGCTAATCTAACTTCCTTAGGGCCCGGGACCTCTAGGGTGTTGCTATTTATGGACCTTAAGGTCCTCCGTGGGGCATACCGGGAGAGATGTAGAGTTGGAATGCAGGAATTGTTTGCCCACCACGCATCTCGAATCCACAGCCCCGAGATTAAGAGTCTCCAGCTCTACCGACTGACCTATCCCAGATCCATGCATAAAAAAGGATTTGATGCACGAACAGCATTTACGCACTGACACATCTGCTCCCGGAACAGATTGTTAGACTGGGGAACTACGGTTATTGTCGGGGCCTGACCGCTGCTCAGAGAGGTGGCAAAATCCCACCAGCATCCCCACAAACCTGAACTCACTCGCAGGACAGCACACCACGGAACACATCGTTCTCCTATGAAGAGTATTTCAGCACTGCATTGTTATTTACAGACACGGCAGAAAAGGAACATGTTTCAGCCGACATTTTGTTAGTTGGTCAAATGTGTTTTGGAGTTCTCCCTCCCTCAGCTGCCACCTGCCAGCAGCACTTCTGTCAGGTTGTAGCAGGAGAGGCAAGCTGGCTATGGATCTTTTCCCCTCTGAACTATTCCCATCCCAAATGATCCTTGTGAGAACTCTATCACTTTAAGCAATGGTGCCTAAATTTGATTCCCACCCCACCCCCTTCATTCACCACCCATTTTCCCCTTTGTGTCATGTCCTTTATATTGTAAGCCTGATAGCAGGAACAGTCTTCGGTTACTGTTGTTATTGCTATTAAAAAGGTAAAAATTTAGGTAAAGGATCCCTGGACAGTTAAGTCCAGTCAAAGGGTTGTGGCTCTCATCTCACTTCAGGCCGAGGGAGCTGCCGTTTGTCCACATACAGCTTTCTGGATCATGTAGCCAGCATGACTAAACCACTTCTGGCACAACGGCACACCATGACGGAAACCAGAGCACATGGAAACACTGTTTACCTTCCCACCACAGCGGGACCTATTTATCTACTTGCACTCGCGTGCTTTCGAACTGCTAGGTTGGCAGAAGCTGGGACAGAGCAATAGGAGCTCACTCCATCGTGGGGATTCGAACCGCCAACCTTCTGATCAGCAAGCCCAAGAGGCTCAGTGGTTTAGACCACAGTGCCATTATTAAGCCACTCTGGGAGTCTTTTCGGTTGAAGAAGAGGAGAGGGGTGCTAGAAATAAATAAATAACATTTATGTTACAGAGATCTATGATTTCCCCCCTTAGCATGACTTTCTGTACCTAGTTTTATTGGTGTGTGTGACCACAATAAAACAAGCCATTTATAGCATAACTTTTGAAGCCACTGGACAAAGATCTGCTCTTAAATCATACAAATGGTTTGTATTCTCCCTCTGCATTGTACCAATAATTCATGCAAATAAATAATAGTGAATTTCTAAATCGCAGGCTTGCCCCAGTTCAGTAACAGAACTTAAATATGAAATAAAAAAAAACACAGTACTCTGACTTTCTTCTTTGGGTAAACTAAGGCACTGTCAGCAATTAAACTATTTTGGGACTGAGACAAAAGTCCAATGCTTTGAAATTTTTAAATCTTCTTTTTGCTTCAGGCGCCGTATGAGACAGTTAGTGCAGAAACGATTTCACCACCACCTTTTTGAAGAGCTTCAGGAGGCCTCTATCCGTGATGACCTAGTAGGGGGTTTGTTGAGCCAATGGGAGGAGGGTTGTTGCTCTTTTCAATATGAATATTTTGTACCTTTAATTTAGATCTTATTATCATTTATGTGGAAATTGTTTCATTTGGTAGTGTACTTTTTGATGTTTTATTTATTGTTTAGGACTACTTTGGTTGTGATCGTCATGAGCAGCGTTCTAACTATGGGATGGCAGCATACAATCAAAACGATGTATGTATGCATTGGTAGTTCTATGGTAGAATTCTCGCCCGCCACGCAGGAGGCCCGGGTTCAGTTCCCAGCCAATGCAAAACATATTTTGTGTTAGGTAGCTTAGTTGGTAGAGCAGGGTCATGAGTCTGAGTCCCATGTTGGGCAAAACATTCTTGCATTGTGGTCCCTTCCAACTCAACAATTCTATGGTTCTATTGTTTTTTGTATGTATGTTTCCATAAGACAGAAGGAGAAGAAGAAGAAGAAGAAGAAGAAGAAGAAGAAGTTATTATTTATACCCCGCCCATTTGGCTGGGTTTCCCCAGCCACTCTGGGTGGCTTCCAACAAAATATTGAAATACAGTGATCTGTTAAACATTAAAAGCTTCCCTAAACAGGGCTACCTTCAGACATCTTCTAAAAGTCTGGTAGTTGTTCTTCTCTTTGACAACTGGTGGGAGGGCGTTCCACAGGGCAGGTGCCACTACTGAGAAGGCCCTCTGCCTGGTTCCCTGTAACTTGGCTTCTCACAGTGAGGGAACGCCAGAAGGTCCTCGGCGCTGGACCTCAGTGTCCGGGCAGAACAATGGGGGTGGAGATGCTCCTTCAGGTATGAGCCCAACGCGGCTAGATTCCCCTTCCAACTGATGGCCCATTGCTGAAACAGCCCCCTGCAGGATTGATGCTGCAGTGCAACAGCTGTTTGTTGGAGACATCAATCCTGCAAGGTGCTCCTTTGAAAGCAGCTTCCCTGCAGAAAAACCACTTGTGAAGGAACACCCCAAAGAATTGACCCCTCTGCTCTTGGTGTGTGTGTGTGTTTGAAGAGATGCAGCACCTTCTCCTCTCCCCTGCCAACTGTTTCATTAGTTGCTTTAAAAACCATAATTAAACATTAGCAAAGCCCCCAAACTAATTCAGGACAGGATCTAGGGTAGAGCGGGTGGCCCCTAGTTTGACCCAGAGCAGAAGAATGAGGGCCCCCCAAATTGGGACCAAATTGTAGGGGTGGGGGGAATAGCCCTATAGGTTCCACCCTGCCCTTCATCCAAGGAGCTCAGGGCTACATAAATCATTTCCTGCCTCCATTTTATCCTTGTAACATCCCTGTGGGCCAAGGTAGATTGAGAGGGAGAGAAGAAGGATTTGAATCTGGGGACACACACACACACACCAGTCATTGTCCACACTAAACAATGAGTGTTTATGCTGCCATGGTGCCAGCAAAATAATTAAACTCTGCTATCCAATAAGATGGGATGCGGGTGGCACTGTGGGTTAAACCACAGAGCCTAGGGCTTGCCAATCAGATGGTCGACGGTTCGAACCCCCACGACGGGGTGAGCTCCCATTGCTCAGTCCCTGCTCCTGCCAACCTAGCAGTTTGAAAGCATGTCAAAGTACAAGTAGATAAATAGGTACCGCTCCAGCAGGAAGGTAAACGGTGTTTCCATGCGCTGCTCTGGTTCGCCAGAAGCGGCTTAGTCATGTTGTCCACATGACCTGGAAGCTGTACGCCGGGTCCCTCAGCCAATAAAGCGAGATGAGCGCCGCAACCCCAGAGTCGGCCACGACTGGACCTAATGGTCAGGGTTCCCTTTACCTTTATCCAATAAGAATCCTCCACATAACTTAGCTATCATAATTACAGTAAAATTAATGATGAACGATGGAGAGCAGCTGTGTGTGTCCTTATGGAGATGACTTTTTAAACCATCTAAGCCTTGAATTCTTGTTTTTGAGGACTGCGTGTTGCATCCACCAAAGATGCCCCATTAGTCCAAGGTCTTCTGTGTGTATAATGGGGTTTCCTCTCCTTTTCTACTCCCCACATGACCACATGCTTCCCCCATCTGTTCTCCCTCACCCCCCCCCCCCATCCTAACTCATTTACTCAGGAGCAAGCCCCATTGAATTAAATAGGACTTGCTTCTCAGTAGATGACACTGACTTACTAGGGAGTAAGTCTGAATCAATTCCATGGGGGCTTACTTCTGAGTAAACAGGCTTTCTCCATTAATTGACCATATCTTTTAATGTGCATTTAAATCAAGTGAGCCTGTACCAAGTAGTTATATTGCTTGTATAGTTTTGAGGGAAAAGACAATTTTCTCTATCAGCCTTCATTTTAAAATGCTTGTAGAATTAGTTGTCTTATTTTT